CTGCCAAACGTGTCCCGTGCTATTCCACCCCCCTGTTCGGGGTCACATTGGTGACCCARTCGTGACAGGCCACCCACACCCAGCACCCAAACATCTCTGCCTCGGGGTTCAGCAGCTCCATCCAGACAGCAGAGGCTTGGGCAAAGAAATAAGGACGGTCACAGGAAAAACGGGGATAAATTCGTGGTCACCTTCTCGCTGATCCCCCGCAACCGCTGGCTATGGTAGTGTCACCCCATGACAGAGGGGGTGTGTRTGACTGTCCGTTCCCCCTTCCCCAGGTCTGTCTGTCCCCCAATGGGGAGGGATTGCAGGCAGGAAAAAGTTACAGCTGTTGCATTGGCCGGGAATCGAACCCGGGCCTCCCGCGTGGCAGGCGAGAATTCTACCACTGAACCACCAATGCCAGATGTGCAGCACACCCAGGCGCTGCTCCACGGCCCCAGCCCCGCTCCCCACTCCTACCCGGTCCACATCAGTCCTTCCACAGGGCCCACAAGCAGGGGGAATGCTCGTGTTGTCCCTTCCCAGCTGCTCACGGCTGTGGATGTGTGTCCTCCCAGCACACRAGTGCCTGGCGTGCGGCTGGGCTGCGGTGCCAGGGGATCCTCACCTGCCGGTACTTGCTGTACTCCTCCCCCAGGGCATCGAAGAGCTGGCAGAGTTCCTGGGTGTACTTCCAGGATGGGTGCTTCTCTGGCAGCACCTCACGGATCCGCAGCACTGCCTGGGAGCTGACATGGAACCAGAGGTACCGCAGTGCTGCCTCCGACACTGTCCCGTTGCGCTAAAGGGCAAGAGGGTGAGAGCCATGCAGCCCCCGTGGGTCCCTGGAGTGCTCCCATCACGGGACTGTCCCCTGCCACCATCTTACCAGTCGGGTGATGTTCGACGGCCTCAGCACCTCTTCGTACTGGACCCGGACTGTATAGTTGATAGGAAAGTAGTGTTTCTGGAAAGACAAGGAAGAGCACAGGGGCTGGCAAAGGGCAAAGAGATGGGGACATCCCTGCCAGCCTCAGTCTGACACCGGGCAGCCGATGTGAAAACCCTTTGACGTGGTCAGCCCCCAGCAGAAGTAGCTCTGCTGTCCCTGGTATAAGTCACAGCACCCAGCACCCAGTCACTGTAGAGYAGTGGGTGCCACCCTCCCGTGTCCTCCCTAGAGCAAAGTGGGGCCCTGCAATGCCACGTGTCCCCCCACCTCCCAAAGCTGGGGTTACCATGTACTGCAGGCGCATCTCGTACTGCAGCTTGTCCTGGAGCAGGCGGGTGAGCTCGCATTCGCCCGGCGCCGCGGCCTCCAGCCCCAGCACAGCCAGGACACCTGCACAGYCAAAGCCAGTGGTGTCAGCCCCCTCAGGGACACCCACTGAGGCGACCCYTGAGGCCATCCCCCCTGTCCCCAGMTGTACTCACAGAGGACGGCAGCGTAGCCCTGCTGCATGTTGATGGTGGCTGTCAGTGGAGCCCCAGGCTGCGCCTACATGGCTGGGGCTCACCAGGAGCCTCCAGGGCAGTGGCGTGGATGGTGTGGGGACAAGGGACAGGTGTAGGCTCCGGGCACTGGGCTGCTCTCCGGTAGCCCCGGGCAGTTGTTCCCTGCCATGGATGGGGGGTTAGTCCCCCTTCCCGGCAGTCCCCTCTGGCTTCTCCTCTCCAGCTGCTGGCAGGGAGGCAGCAGGTCCYGGGGCCGTCACAGGGTGCTGGCAGCGATGTGTTCACAGGGGTGCAGGGCCACAACACCCCCGGACTGCGGGAGGGGATCTGGGGGAAGACAGCCCCGGCTGCAGCCCCARGGCAGGAGAGCGCCCAGGCTGCAGCCCCCGGATGGGACACTCGCTCCAAGCTGCGGGGGCGGAGGGGAAGGGACAGCCCGCCTGAGCCTCGAGTGGCCAGAGGACTGTGGATGGTCTTGGAGCCGTGTGTGCCTGTGTCCYGCTCGGGGCAGGGCTACCAGGGCTTCCCTGATGACACCCTCAGGGGATTTCCAGAAAAGGAGCRGGCTCAGCCCAGCCCCGTTATCCCAACAATGAGTTCGTCCGGCCTCAGCTGGGAGGGGGATGGGTCTGGTGAAGCGGCCAAGCAACCGCATGCTCTGTGTCCACACAGAGGTGTCGTGTCCCTACACCCCTGGGAAGGGTGCTCTGTTATGTCCCCATGCTGTGGAAGGAGACCATAGCATGTCCTTGTGCCACATCTTCCACAGCGTGTCCCCCTGCACAGGGGGCTGTGCTGTGCTCCCGCATGGTCCGTGCCGTGTCCCAGCACCCAAGAGGCCCCCTCTGAGTCCCCGCACCGTGTCCGGGTGCCGGGGGGGCCCCGCTGTGTCCCCCCGCGATGCCATGTCCCAGGGGAAAGCRGCCGTGCCGTGTACCGCGCCGTGCCCCCGCGCAAAGGCGCCGTGCAGTGTCCCCACGCCAAGGGGTGCCACCCCCACCCGCAGTGAAGGGACCCGTGTGCCGTGTCCCTGCAATGTGTCCCCAAGCGAACACGGCCGGGTGGCGGGGTGTGCTGTCCCGTGGGGTGTGCCCGGCCGCCCCCCGCGCCCCCGAGCGAGGCTCCGCGGACCCACCTGG